AGAGAAACTGATTTTAAATCTTAACTCCACACAACATATTAGTAACAGATGTTACATGTTACCACATGTTCAGGTTAATTCAGCACCAGCACTGAATGCAAAGAAAAGCACTATGATATCTTGTCTAAATGAAAAATGAATTCCATATGCAGAAGATATGCATATGAGTTGTATGTTTTAATAAACACTCACAAACCCATGTATCATGCATGTAGGATTGTGTGAGAGTACTGGGTAAGTAGGCAGATGTTTTTCATTAGAACTGTATTAGCAGACCAACATGTTACAGTGAAGTATGTTGCTTCTGAACCTGATGCCCAACTACAATACTTTCTCTGACACATGTATCAGAGGCCAGGAAGAATAAATATCATAGTACAATAGTTGATGAAAGATATATCTAATATGTTCCTTGCTGTGATAGACATCTGTATCATCTGGCTCCTGCCATGCATTTTTTATTTATTTCTTTGTGTTTTTTAAATTATGCTTTTAATAGATCAGATTGAATAAGAGGGTGATTAGTGAAAAATAAGTTAATTCAAGGTAATTAATATCTAAGAATTTACATGGAGGGACTGAGTAAAAACTTCAGTCAGGATAGCTAGTGTCCCAGCCAAAATTTTAATGTTGGATTCTCTGAATACAAAACTACCACTTGACTGCATTATTTGGTGCTGCAATGGGAAACATATTTTATACTGTGATGTGATTTAATATGAGGAATGCATTTTGAAAATAATTCTAAATTAAAACTTTCTGGTTGTCATGGGAAGAAAATGTCATTTAACCAATATAAAAAGCATTTCAGTCAGTCTCATTTTTTATTTCCATATAGTTTAAACTTTTAGGTACTAAAATATTTCAAGGCCTGAATGTACAGCAGTGCAAGTCTTTCTAGCTTTATAGTTAAACATGCTGTTAAGGAAAATAATTGTTTTAAGCTGTACAACAGTTTTCATCACAGGATTAGTCGGTGTTAGAATAACTACACAAAATTCTCCTACATTCTTGTTGATCCATGCCATGTCTTTGCAGAAGTAACTCAGGCAAGTGGAAATGTAGCCTGTAGAATATGGAGTGTAGAGAGCTGACAACAGCTTGTTATAAATGCCAACAAAGAAAAGCATTATGGAAATATGGATAATCTTTTCCAGTGCAGGAACTAAATGTACATTTTACCTTATGTAAATTTCACTCCCTTAAAAATTATGTAAAGGTTAGTTTCAATATAATGACATAAAAATGGAAATTAATAGAAATTGTATGCCCATTGAATACAGTAAAACAAAGGATATAAATATTTCAAATATTTTTGTCTGTAAAGTAAATAGTCTGTTGGAGAAGTGTAGTTGTGGACTAAATAATCTGCATTATCTGCATTATAATATCATTAACTTACAAACAGATCAGTCAACAAAACCATATTCCATGTGCATTATTCTGTTTGAGCATTATTTGAGTGCTTCAGCAGTTGTTGTGAACAGAAATAACTAGGAGCTTATATGTACTATTATCATTACTTTCAAAATACTGGGAGCCAAGGTAGCTCAGTTAGTATATTAAGTAGGTTATGGGCTGCAGGACAGAGGAAATGTGATTCACTTCCTGGCAATGGCAAGAGATTTTTCTTTTCTCCATGACATCCAGACTGTCTCTGGGCCCCTCCAGCCTCCCATACAGTGAGTATGGGGGTAACAGAGACTGTTTCCCTGAAGGCAAAGTGGCAGGCTCATGACTCATGACTCCCCCATGCATTGTTATGTGATGTACTGTTTAATTAATTAAGCACAGGGAATATTTTGCCTTTTGCCATTAGTTCAGATCACTTGGCATTATTGGTTTACAGAAAGTTGTGCTGTACGTCTGGTAGTTCATGCGGTATCATACTCACAGAATAAATATTGTCTACCCTTTTAAAATTCTTTCATGATTAGAAATACTTGAATGACAGCTCTTTCATGAAAGAATGAATGTGTAATTTTGAGAAGTTAACACACACTGTGCATGTTTCAGCAACCTTTATGTCAAAGGACAGAATCCTTTGGCAAGAGGAATTGTATTTAAGGATCATCTGTGTATTATCATTGTTGCCTTGTATTTGTCCATTAGTAATAGTACTTGCTGTATATATGTAACCTGCTGTGATTTACGCTTAACATTCTAAAGGTTCGAACTGAATTTAGGAAAAGTAATTTATTTCCTTCAGGGCCTAACATGTGATAATATATATATAGTCACAGTTGAATTGTTGATTCTTACTGTTTACACATATTCTAGAAAGTAATATTCCATGCTATATTGTACGTCATACCATAGCAAGTATAAAATGTTGCCCACAATAATAAAATCTCCTATTTTAATGCAAGAATGATAAGCGTGATTTTAAGACCCATTAATGTCCTCCTTTTTACACATATTGGGTGCCATTTAATACAAAGTTATCTTTTTTTCCTTTCTTTTACAAACTCTTTTCTTTTTTATTGTTTGAGAATACAAAAAATTCTGTTACTTGAAGTGTTATTTAGTGATCATGCACCATTACAATGGAAAGATTTCATGATGTGAAAGGGATAAAGAAGTTTTGTAGAAATACGATTTTAAATAACCACAGCTGCTCTGAAGAAGTTAAGGGAGATAAGGAAAGTACTGTTTTCTAGGATATGGCACTTTGTAGTCTGGTAGAAGGTTACTGACTTGAAGAATGTACTGTTTCCATCTTCAAGGTCGAGGAATAAGGCTGGCAAGCAACCAGCAACAAACAGAGCACTGTGCTTGCTTGATGCTTGTTTTGTTTACTCTTCAATCCTGAAGATGGAGGCACCACATTCATCCAAAATATCTGTAAATTTTCAGCAGGCTATACAGTGTCACATCCCAAAACATATATCGTTCATAGGTACCACCATGAGAACCTCGAATGTTGCAGTGCAAGGTAGTTTTCTTGATATAATAATATGAAACATAGAAAACTGCCATTTTCATAATGATGTTAAAGAGATGTTCCAGTGTATCTGTGAGAATATAATAAAGTGAATGGAATCATTTACGAATTTATCAGGAATGTACATATGTTCTTACATATGTATATGCAGTTCTTTTCTCTGATTCAAAATATTAAATGTTCATGGTTTTGCTGGAGGGCTGCTGTGTGGGATTTATAAACTGATTCAGAAGGGCAGTAGCACAAACATTAGGGTTCTGACATTAATGTAGCAGTAACAACACTAATAATCATCCTGTGATGTTAAGTTTTGTATCTACCTTATAAAGCATCATCTTGTTTGATTATTATGGTTCGGCTCAGATGTTATAATCTGATGAGCATGTCATTTACTAGCCCAGACAGTGAAGTAGCATGGTTATGCAGAAGTGCTCCTTCTTTCTAACACTTAATCCTATTCAGAAATAGAATATTTATATGTAATTAATCAACATAAGCAGGGTAGCCTGCACATTAGATATATGTCAGTTTTCAGAAATTAATAATGGATATCAGAGTATATACAGCATATTATCTGGAAAACTTTGGACTAAAGGCTTTCAACATTTGGGATTTCCATGATTTTGAGTGCCTCCCCCCAATAATGATACATAAATTCAATAATTAAAAACTTTTATGAACATTTTCTTTATGTAAAAAATGGTTGAAGTTGAACAATGAGAGCCAGAATTATCACTTTTTAGCAGAACAGTCTTTAATATTTATAAACATGTCCTGCATATTTTTTTTTATTTGTTTCATTCTGGTCTGTCACCCTAACAATTACAAAGATAAAACAACTCCATCCAGTGTGACTATTGAAGTTTTTACTACTTGAAGTTTTTACTACTGAAAACTTAACACCCTTACATGTTTTGGTCCCTATAGACTATCATCAGAGGGACATCGATACTTTTTTTGGAAACTACTATCACAATGGGTGTGAAAACAACACAGCATGCCACGAACAAACACAGGATGATACCAAGAATCTCCTTCTCAAGAGAGATGGATGGCGCAAGTTCAGCCTCCGTCAAGAAAGACAATAGGAGAAAGGACACAAACCTATTTGGGTTATAAATTTTAACTTAAATAACAAAGTTTTAAAGACTTTAATATACCAAGAAAGCTGCTGTAGTTGTGAAAAAGTTGGATTTGGTATATATTGTGCATTACAAATATTGTATGTATATGTGTTTTAGCACTCAAAACACCCATTGTGATAGTAGTTTCCAAAAAAGTATCGATGTCCCTCTGATGGTCTATAGGGACAGAAACATGTAAGGGTGCTAAGTTTTCATGTAGTAAAAACTTCAATAGTCACACTGGATGGAATTATTTTATCTTTGTAATGTCCTACATACTCGTAGTTAATTGTTTCAAACTTTTCTTTTTTTAATTTCATGTATTTTATACGCACATAATATGTTGTTGAGAAATAAACTTTTTTCGGTTTCAAAAAGAAGGAAAAGAAAACCTTACAGATTTCAGGACCTGCTACATTTTGGGATTCCAAAAAAGGGGGCCCATGCTGTGATTTCAGATGTTAAAGCTATTTCAGAAGGAGAAAATAATAATTATTCTCTTATTAATGCTTTTTAGTCTTAAGATTTTTCTGACATTTACTGTTATAATTCCTGTAAATAGCGATCATGTTTTGTAAAATGAAAGAACACATTCGTGGTTTGAAATGGAAGAGCCAAAGCACATTATATCATAAATGTGACCATATTTAAGCATCCTTAGCTAGTTGCTCCCTGTGTTTCTATGTATGTGCTGTAGGAAGTACAAGTAATAGATGCCATTTTAATAAATATTAAATTTATCAGTAGTTAAAAATTATACTAAACTCCTGCATTTAATCTCTATACCTGAAATAATAACAAGTTGATAAGAGCTTCCAAATAAACATTTTATTTTTCTGAGTACCATTCCTCATCTGTCAAAGGATTTTTATACTCCAGGTATTGCAGAAGTAACATACTGATGTTGGTTATTTGTGTCTCCCTTTTCACAGCCCCTGACAGTAACAATGGTCCCTGTGAGTATAATCAATTCATCTACTTTACTATGTGTTTTATGTACAGGATCTGCCAAAAAATGAGGACCTTATGCTATGTGCAGTAAAATCTGTAATTGTAAAATGATTCCAGTTTAACTTCACCATGTTAAGGTATGTTTAACTAGCATAATTGTATAATGTGATAATATTTAGTCAGTTTGTAATTGAAATTAAAATTTGTAATGCTAATGAAAACTCTATATTAACACAATTTCAGCGACATTTTTTTATTTTTATTGTATTGTGAAATGAGCTATGGGTTTCAGATGTACACATAAAAATGCTATTCAAACTTATCTTAATGTGGTGAAGTAAAAATTAAAATTTGGTTTATGACTGTAGATCTTACTGTATATAGCATATGATCTCCTCTTTTATTGGCAGATCTATATATATATGCTTGGATGGCATGTTCGCTGTGTGGTGGGGTCATGGTAGGTCTTGTATGTCCTGTAGATCAGCCTTTAGTGTTTTGCTTGCTTATAGTTACAGCATGGCTGTGCAAGTAGATATTAATGTTAAAGCTTTTATGTATAGTACAATATATAATATCAATCAAAGGGAATTAAATCTTTGTATAAAAGTGTAATGCAGTGGACGTACATTACTTGGGTCTCCTTATGGATAGGCTTATACACTGTAGCAAGCATTAGCCAGAAAAATATTACCTGTCAGATTTGAGGTTTTCACAGTGGTGGTTATGAAGAGTTATATCTTCTGGGATATAACACTGTGTAGTCCATTGAAAGTCAATCAGCATTTGAGATGAACATGCCACCTCTGTCTTGAGGGTTGAAGTGTGGGCAGTGCAAGAAATCACCATGAAGCAGGCAGCAAACAAAGGGCTTGGCTTTCAGCATGATCCTCTGAAACATCAATTAACTTTCACTGGACTACTCCGCATCGTATCCCACAAGATACAACTCTTCAGTCTTATAATCCTGTGCCATATCTTTTTAAAATCATAATATTCTCCATGCATTTTTCAGCTCAAGCCTATGATTCTGGCTATTAGCACATATTTAGGTGACAAATGGAGACCATTTGAGATTTCAGATTCTCACATGTGACTATAAAGGTGCTCTCTTCTGGAATGTGATGCCATGTGATCTGGTAGAAGTTTACCAGCTTTGAGACTGAAGTAGTGTCTCCATCTGCGGGACCAAAGAGCAGGCAGACAATTAGCTTAGGCCATGACATAGCTCAGGCAGTTAGTCACCGGCTTCTTACCGTGGCAGCCTGGGTTCATTATGAGGTCAGATCATGGGATTTTTAGTTGACAAAGTGGCAATGGGGCAGGCTTTCTTTGAGTACTTCAGTTTTCCTTACCAATTCTTATTCCACCAACTGAACTCAGTCTCGCCCCACCCCATTAATAAAAAACAAAAAGTCCTGAGAAGAACTAATCTCTTTCCTTTGATACAACATGGACTGCATAGAAAAAATTGGGTGGGGGTCACATCAAGTTGATCTAACAAGCCTCATAACCCTAAAAATTAAGGGAGATGCAGATAAATGGGCAGATACAGAAGGATACACAGACACACAGCAAGATGATCTCATAAGCCTCCTTTAATTCTTTCAGAAGGATAGTAGGCTAAAAGTAATAAAAAGATTCTCTACTTGCTCTTGTGGCTTAATCTTTAACCCCCAAAATTGAGGCTGTACAGTCCCTCTGAAATACTGGTATCAACTACTACCAGACTGAATGTCATCACATCCCAGAAGTTAGTACTCTTGTAATACCATTCACTTTGCTGCTCATAAGGATGTCCCTGTCTGCTCTCCCTTTTATTTGGTAGTTTATGCAACCCAGTTCATCTTGTCCACAGCAGAATCTCTCTTCATATTGACCTATGCACTTTATCTTCAGACATCTGTTAAATTTATGTGCTGCTAATCAATTATGTGGGCAGGGAAGTACCTGTCATGTCATGGCAGATGTTGGTATCCTCCATTACAGTGAGCATATTGCACCAGGGAGCAGGAATAGCTCAGTCAGTACAGTGGTCAGTGTATGGGCTGGATGACCAAGTTTGATACATGACAAGGACAGATTTTTCCCTTCACCACCCTATTGGGACCAGCCATGGGGCTGCTGACTCAGCCTCCTGACTAATGAGTACATGGAATGCTTTTCCCAGGGATGGCCAAGGCATGAAGCTGACTACTGACCTCCATCTCATATGAATTTCATGTATAATATAAATCAACCCATTTACATAATTCATTTGAATTTATAATTAGAACATGAAGAACACATTGATGGATTCCACCACTGCCCCCCATGGAACATTGTCTGTCATGGCAGTCCATATGTTCACAGGTTTAAGGAATACATGGAACATTTAGGTATTTGTCCTCTTTTATCCATTTGGAATTTGGTTTGGGAGGTTTTTAATTTTAGGATACATATTGTCTCGTGTAGGAGGGTACGCATAACAAATTGACGGGTTCTAGTTCTGATGATCGGATTTATTAACAGTTTAGTTACATGCGCTCTCTCAATTACACTCAAATCACAGCCCTATCACTGATTTACATACACCTGTTGCATCACACACATAAAGTCTTCTAGATCACAATTGAACTCCTCACAGGTGACCTTCTGGATTCCTGGTTCCACTTCGCTTACTTCCACCGCTCTTGACTACGCCTAACTGCTCGTAACTCATACTGGCTCAACACAAATGAATACTCTCATTATGTAGCTTCTGCACTGACCACACAGAAAACAGCCTATTGCCCGGCCACAGACTCCATAGAAACAAGTTACGTGATAGCTACCACTGTTGCGTGATGTCACAGCCTAGCATGGAGGGGTGTTTACCGAGTGTCACATAACGCCGAGCTGAGTGGGGATATGTGACGTCACTTGCACTTCCTGTTGTGCTATCCAAATGTTTACAGAGTTGTCGCCTAGCAATGTGCCGATACAATCCGCAACTCTCATGTTGTGCGCGTGCCCCGAGGCCTCTGTGGCTCAACTATTCCTGCATAGAGCAAATACACCACAATATCATTCATTCAAATGTAGGTCAGGATAGCTCAGTTGGTACAGTAACAGGCTGTTCGCTGGATAGCCAGGGTTTAGTTCTTAGAAGAGGCAGACTAGCTCTAGGGACCACTTGGACTCCTATCCAGTGGATCCTGGGGACTCTTTCCTCAAGGGTAAATCAGGCAGGGTATGAAGTTGACTACTAATCTACATCAAGTGCCAAGGTCAAGGCAAAATTATGCAGTACATACAATTCTGAACATGTTAAATTTGGAACAGTGTCAGTTAGTACAGGTAAATTGCTGCAATGTGAGAACTCCTTGCTCATTTCTCTGTATCACCTTCATTTAGGTTTGTGACAAATGTACTACTTGTTCCATAGCTGCATGTATACCAACCCACATTATGCTTGATTGGAAGGGTCTGTTTGAATGAATGATATAAAGGCAAAGGTAAAGTTGTCACTATGCTTAATTAATTAAGCCCCATGCCATTAAAATGCATCTTCACCTCGACACTAGATGGAGGTGAGTGGTCTGTATGTTCTTGTTAGTTTCTCTTGGTAAAAGGTAAAGTTATCCCTGTGCTTAACTATTTAAGCACTATGTCATGAAGATGTATGGGGGAGTGGATTTATAGACCTACATTTTCTTGATGTCAGCGCCAGTTGGAGGTAAGTGGCCAGCTTCACGCCCTGGCCGCTTTACTCCTGGGGCAAGAGCCACCATTACCCGTTGGATAGGAGGCTGGGTGGGCCCCAGAGCCAGTCTGGACGACATGGAGAAGTGAAAATTCTTGCCCCTACCGGGACTTGAACCCCGACTCCTTGGTCATCCAGCCTGTAGCCAGTTACCAAGGAAAAACAGTTTCTGAAATACATAGTATCCATAAATTTGGGAACAAGTGTTCATGGGAATCTGCTGGACCATCTACAGAGTCATGTTGGGATGGTTATGCTAGACTGGTTGTTGAAAAATTAAGTTTACTGGAATTGTGGTTTTTTAGCTAATAAAGTTTTAACTGTGGGTTTGTTTGTTTACTAGTGATACCCACAATCCAAAGGATCAAATTGCTGTACTTAAAGTAACAGTAGTGAAATGCATGGATGCATTGTTGTACATTTGCTGTTACTGTCCATTTCACGTAACTTCAACTGAAAGCTTTTGTTAACATGATTTGCTAATGGATTGCATTTTCCATTTATTTTTGTTTTGTTGCATCACTTTCTTTATTCCACTGGATTGTGAACATTATGTAATAATACACACACACACACACACACACATATATATATATATAATGTTATTTTAAGACTGCTTCTCATTTAATGTTGCATTCTTTTCACCCATTTATTACATTATTTATGGTTGTTCATTACATATCTGCATTATTATGTGTTCTTTGCATCATGTGCATAAACTGAATGCATATAGGGGAGCTGTGTATGTATGTGTTTTCTTTTACCTGACCATCTGCATGTTTCATTTGCAGAACCACATGGCAGATTTTGATGAAATTTGTTGTTAAAGGTTTTAACAGAGAGCTATATGGTAATTTTCGTTTTCATAAAGACTAGCATTATATTAGTGTACTTTCATAAGGGTTTAAATGTGTATTACCTTAATATTATGTATATTCAAAAAAAATAAGCCTCAATCAAAAGCATTTGTTTAATTAGATAAATAATGCAATAAATATTGTATCAGAATTGCTTTTAATATTGTTAAGTATCTTCATGAAATCTGTCTGAAACAGCTAGGAGCACTTGGCATGTAAGGCTGAAAACTGTGTACTCTTGTGTGGGCTGCATCTTTCCAGTGTTCAGATTATAGTCTTCTGTGGTATGATGCCATGCAGTCTGGTGTGTTGTTACCAGTGTTTGGAGGAACAACTATCTCTGTTTTTGGAGCTTGAAGATGGAAGCAACAGGTTATTCTGAAACAGTTACCATCTATCAGACTGCAGTGCATCACATCCCAGAAGAAAACTGTAATCTTGAAATTTACTATTGTGAGAACCCCAGATCTTTCCCACCTTGCTACTATTCGAATGAGCTCAGATGTAATGTTAATCATTGCATTTGTTGCACTGTATTTTGTGGCATGATATTATGTGACCAAGCATTTGTTCATTGCCACTGCTTTGAGCACCTATATATACTCTGGAACATAATAATTGATAATGATATTTATGATATCTCTCTATAAATGTTGATTTAAAAATTAATTTATTTGTGTATTATTCTGACTGATGACCTGCTTTTCTTACGGTCTCTCGTATCCAAGCTTTTGAATTCAAATTTTCACATGTTATAGAAAATGAATAATCATTGAATTTCACTTAATTGAGTGTATTTATCTTTGTAAGGAATGAACCAAAAATTTATTTTAATTTGTTTATTAAAGATAAAAAATGCATTTTAGAATTATTGGCACTAGAGGAAAGTCTGTGAAGAGGTTTAGGAACATGTTACTCTGCTTTTCTTTATGTAGAATGTAGTTCTGAGAGTTGTGTGGACGACCATGAAGTTTGAATATGCAAATTTTCAGATATGAATCTACGTATGAGCTCATGGGTAATTTATTAGTGGAATGGTGAGGATTAATCAGTAGTTCCTTGTTTTACTGCATTACTCCAAGATTTCACCAAAGGAAATGAGGAAAGAATTAATGCCTGGCAAGGAAAATTAGTTACCTCTGCAGCTACATCTCTTTTCACATTCTAAAGTGCAATTGTTCTTATTATACTGAGGCTGCAGAAAGCATTCTCTTGGATTTATTTCTCTCTGTGTGTACTTTGAGGTCGTGCTTCCTCCTCCAGCTTATTCCCCTGTAGTCCTTTTCATCCACATAAACATTCTGTTAACATGAATGCTGGTAGGCATACCCTTCAGTATAAATGAACGTTTTTGAGGCCAGAGGGAACCACTGGGGGGGGGCAGAATGAATCGGTACTCAGAAGGTGTAGCCTGTAGCCTATAGTGCTGTTTAAGTTCTTAAAATTAGCTAAGGCACTTTACTCTCACTTCATGTTATTTCACAGACTTTTAAAAATAAAAAATAAACTAGGCTTGCATATTCAGTACAAGAAACTTTGTTCTTCAGTATCCACATTAAGTTAAACTGATTGTAGGAGTGAGACTGTGAACAGTTGCTTGTATTGTAACAAGTTTCTTTTTGTGAGAACGTTTGGTAACATTTCTGAAGATTCTGTTGACTGGGGCATATCTGTTTTGTCTTCAGCACTGCATGGGGAAGCACAGAAACAATGAAGCAATAAATAACTATAAATCACAACTGTGTGCACAGTAGTGATGTATATAGCTTTCTTCAGTGGTCACTACAGATGTTACAAATAATATTTTGTGTTTTATTTGGGGATAGATTTGTGTTCACTCTAAGTTCAAGGGAGGGACAGAGTGAAAGTAATGAATGTTATTTCCCTTCCAAGCTACACAAGTGACACATGTTTAGCCTTTTTGTTATCAGTCATCAATACTTAAAAAACAAATCACGCTTCAATAACTCATTAGGACTTGAGAAATGTTATGGTGAAAGGGTTAAGAAGCAAAATTCAGAACTATGCATTGTATGTTTGTACAGTACAGTTGAAAGAAACTCAGAAAATTAAACTTGCATTTATGAATTCATTTTATTTTCATTATAGAGCCCATTTTGTGCTTTGATTATTTTTATTTTCCTCTCACTTGTACTTTGGATGGGAAGGAAACATCAGAACTGTTGTCTTTGCTTGGAACTGGAATTCAGTGCAGTATTAATGAATGTCAAATTGTTAAGAGTTTACTTGAATATGGTTGCTATATTTATCTTCTTGCTGTTTTAGTATCTCTTTTGTTGGCCCTTGTTAAGCCACAAAATCCAGAGTAATAGTAAGAAATGGTTCTTATTTTAGAGTGTACTTGCAGATTTGAGAAAGTGTAAGTAAAAGCTTCATATAATTTGAAGGTGTACTCTCACGTGATTGAGTGACTGTGTCGTTTGAAGTTGATAGCTTAATGTAAAACACTGAATATCTTAAACTGTTTTCCATCAGAAGCAAAATAGATACTTTTTCATGCTCTGCAACTTGAGAATGTTTTGTGCTGTGCAATGGGTGCTCAGTATTTGTGGGAATTATAGCCCTGAGAATTTATGTCAAAATCTTATCTGCAAAAAATGAAATGGAGAAAATAATATTAGGGATATGTCTGTAGAAAATGGTGCAATAAAGTCCTTGTTGTCCAATATATATGAGGAATGGTGTATACATATTACATGAATATGCTGTTTGAATGAGGGAAACTCATACAAAAATCCGGAAAAGAGTCAAGACAACATGTTTTCTCCTACATCTTGTGTGAGACTTTTCATACATGACATAGTGGGTGGATGGGTGGATAGATAAACTGTAATATTATCACAAATTTTGACTGACCTCTTATTGTAATAGCTACTTTGTGAGGGAGCATGGTGGGTGAACATATGTATGTCACATTTTTTTTATATAACTTTATAAGAAATGATAAATCACCTTTCAAAATTTTGTTGGTTGGATGAGAATTAGAGATGCTTAGATACCAGATAACCCAGATTTAGTATCAAGGGAAAATAGTCTCATATTTTGATTAAATGAAATCTAAAATTGAATAATATATAAGTTAAATAATCAAAACATGTTAATCAAATTATATAAATAATGTATTTTAGTTGTAAATACTGCATAAAGTGAGGTTATGAAATGCAGACTGGAAGAAAAAAAGAGGTAAATTATTTTGTACCTGAAAGAAAGCAGTATTCTGGGATTTGGCACCGTGTATATGTGGTGTTAACCGACGTTTCGGAGGAACGTATCGCCTCCATCTTCAGGGTAGAAGAAAAAATATAAGAANCCTGGTTTGTAAAACCTGTAACTCAGCCGAGAAATAAGGAAACTTTTTTTTTGCAAGAAATATATATTGAACAGGTTTAAGCAAATCCATGCATAGTAGCATTTTAATGTACTTTCTCAACAATATGAGTATTCTCAACCTTTCTGCATTCTCATTTTAATAGGTAATCTTTCAGGTGATGCTTTTACTTTTTTAATTATCAAAAATACTGCATTGAAAAGTATAGTGTAGTCTTCATGGTTTCACCAGTGTAAGCATTCCAAAGTATATGCGAGTGTATGCTAAGCTTGCTCCTCATGGTGACTGATGGGGGTTGTGCGTGTTGTTTGGTCAGGTGTCATCTATGTCGTTGATGAGCTGGACTACGAACAGAAGCAACAGTATGAGTTGACAATCCGGGCGACAGATGGGGTGTTTCCTGTATATGCTGAAGTGCTTGTGAGCATATTGGTTCAAGATGTCAATGACTGTCCACCAGAATTCACTCAGGATGCTTACAATATTTCTGTCTCAGAGGCTGCACCATTTGGAACATCAGTCCTTAAAGTCATCAGCCGTGATAATGATACAGGTATGAATGAATGTATAGGGGGTGGGCCTTCTTGGTCCTTGCACCGTGACCACAGTGATCTATTGTGCCTATGATACAGGTATCATGGTGAAACCAATTTATAATTATAATTATCATATAATAACAAAAGTAGTTTTTAGTTAATTTGAATATTATTTTAATTGTATCGGTTTAACGTATAATTAATTTACTTTTGTTTCTCTGAACATGATCATTCTGCATAGTGTCCATACTAGATCCTCTTTGAATAACTTTTACATTACAGATAAGTAACTGATTCTTTTAATACAGTGCAAATTTGGTAGATACTATAGCTATGAAATCTACTTTCCCGACATGATGATGATTGATTAAAGTTCAAAACATAGCGGTTTATGCTTGTATCTAAGGTATATTTTCTGTGTGACAGCTATTAAAATTTGCCATTTTATAATAATTTAAAACTGAGTAAGAAATAAGAAGCATGGCTGCAGAAGTTCAATGTCCATTGAATTATCATATATGACCCGACATTCTGAATACAAATGTGTTCATATGCATCCCACAAAATGTGTCTATAGTGGTATAATCTTATTCAGCCCTGTTTGGTTATTTCATCTACTGTGCTGTTGTTTTCTTCTGGATTATTGCTAAAATGTCTGTCTGCAGATATCTTCCATTCTTTCTTTTAATTATGCATTTCAAAGATTATAATTAAGTTTTTGTCGTATTTCTTACATATGTGCTTTTTGCAAGGCACCCTTTTTAGTTTTATTAATTACAAAGGTGCTCTTTTCTCAAATGCAATGCCATGAAGTCTGGTACATCATTACTGACATTACAGAAGAATATACTACCTCCATTTTTAGAGATTCTTCTGTCCTGAAAAGGAGACAATATATTTCTCTGAAATATCATTGATTAACTGCCCGGCTGCACAGCATCAGATGCTAGAAGACAGTACTCTTCATAGGCACCAGTGTAAGAACCTAAAAGCTATTGTTTTGTTTTTTGTTTTTTTCCATTTTGTGCATCCTGTTGTGTTATTATATACAATTCTTTATTGGAGTCCATTGTAACACAACAACATAACGGTCAAAGTTAAAATTACCTTAGCTACATGTTTCGTCTTTTAAAGCCATCATCAGGCAAACACATGATTACTATATTCACACGCTATTGAACTACAATTGTGATAGTAAAGCTGGATGCTTGATAACTGTTATATTATAAAATACATGGTATAAAAATACACTGAATTATAAACTTATTATAAAACGAAAGTTATGGAGTAAAATATGGTTACAAATTCATGATATGCAATATCATATGAAGAATGAAATTGTAGTTCAGTAGTGTGTGAATATATGTAGTAATCATGTGTTTGCCTGATGATGGCTGTAAAAGAAGAAACATATAGCTAAGGTAATTTTAACCTTGACCGTTATGTTGTTGTGTTACGATGGTCTCCAATAAAGAATTGTTATTTTATTTGTATGCCATTTTTGGCACTGATTACTTATTGCATAAATGTTAGTAGCCAGTATAATTTATCTGTGAGCCATAATTTATTTTACAGGAATCAGTTTGTACTCGTATGTATGATAAGTGTAGTGAAGTATGTAGAATGATACTGTGTCATATCCGAGGTTCTCACATTGGTGAATATGATGATTACCTTCTGAGATATGACAGCATGTAGTCTGGTAGAAATATTGGTACATTCTTACCAGACTGCAAGGTATCACATTCCAGAAGACAGTAATCTTCAAAGTTATACATGCGTGCGCATGTGCGCGTGCACACACACACAGCTTTGTAGTTGTATGTGATTTGGTGTGTTTTGTAAACATTTAACTATATCATTGTGTTCACCTATGAAAATGCTGAGATTATGGAGTTCTATAATGGCCACAAGAAGCTAAATGCCACATCATCACTATTTTAGAGAAGTGGATGTTTGTGTTAAAAGCTAAATCATGTAATATAGTCTAATGAAATATATAGGATAGACTTTAAGGAATATATTTGTTGTGGTAGGACATACAAATATATATGCATTTCTCTTCTGTGTAAGTCTGAATAACCTCACAGTGGTACCATGTTCTTTAGGTATTAACCAGAACGTGCGATATGAGATCCAGACTGATTCCAGCAACTCTTCTGAATACTTCCATATTGACCCAGAAGATGGCTCAATCTATCTGAAAAGATCACTTGACCATGAACTTCATGATTCTCATCACTTCACTGTTGTTGCTATTGATGGTGGAGTTCCTAGTCTGTCCAGCACAGCCCATGTTTGGGTTACAGGTATGTGTAGAGAGCTGCTTTATTACCGCTATCAAGAGTTCCTTTCTGTCATTGACACCACAATTATTAAGGGCAGTGGTTATGGATGAGTAACAGATGATCTTTGATGTTGCAAAACACATGAAAGAGCCAGGACTTTCGGGTCTTGGGGTAATACATGTACTCTCCTTCAGAGTCCATTTGAGGCATATCCATGGCCAGATCTGATCTACTGCCATCACATAGTAATCAAACTATGACAGAATCCACCTGTAGGAACCCCCACTGTCAGAAAATGGAGTCTATGAACTTGCTTGCATGGGCAGAGATTGGAAAGGTCATCGCAGACCTTATCATATATAATATTCATCATATAAACACTAGACAGTTTGGAAAGCTACATGTGTCATCAGTGAGATTATCTTCAATCCAGAGAGGCATGTTATATTCATCCATTATGGTTTATAATAATCTTCCTCAAAATATACAAAGGATGAGTGATAATGTGAAGATTTTTAAACGCACACTGAAAAATTTCCTCACAACAAATCCTTTTTATTCAGTAGATGAATATATTTCTGCTAAGCATGTATAACATTTAATAACTACATTCCTTGTAATTTTGTTTTTGAATGACAATGTAAATTATGGTTATTTGGTGCCTTTGGTTGTGTATGGTTGTTTGCTGTTGGCATGATTGTACTTCTGCAATCAAGTCTTATTTTGAATTTATGAATTATGTATGTATGTTGAAGACCATAGGACATGGGGAACAAGACTGAAAATTCTACCTCTCATTTTAATTGTGTGGTCAAGTGATTTCCATGGTTGCTTGCAGCATGGGTAGACGGTATATTTAGAATTTGGCATTATCAATTGGTTTATAATTATTCATATGGGTTTTCCCCTCCAGTACCATGGATAATCAACGAATTCGTTATACGAGTATTCTTTACTCTCCAGTTTGTTCCTTTTCATACCAGAACAATAAATTAGCATTGAATCACTTATGTATATTCGTTTATTTTTTCAAAAATTGGAGCACCTCAAAGTCATGTTTCTCACAATGTTTTCTTCTTCGCAACAAACATTTTCCTTGTATTTACTGTTATTTGTTTGATTTTTAGTGCTCTTATATTTGGCTTGGGAATGACAAAAGACTGTCTGCATGTATACACATTACATGTTATGAATTTTAATCAGTAGATAGAACAAGAAACTTGTTTGTAATTGGATATGGAACAAAGGGCTAACAAGGAATGGATGTTGATATATTGGGTTTTCGGACTTTATCCATCGTTCTGGTTTTTAAGATAATTAATAAAAACACGACGTTTCGGAAACTGGATCTGTTTCCGTCCTCAGGTGAAGGAAAACACCTATTCTGTTGGGTCCGTTAGAAAGAGCTAGCCTCAATCACTGGCAGTGAAACCCAATATATCAGTGTGTTATACACCATCGTCAGAATCCTATAGTAAGGAATGGATGTGTTTACATACTTTGTATTTTTGTTGTTCTTGCAGTTTTGGATATGAATGACAATCCACCAAAGTTTGAACAGCCATCATATACCTGCTTTCTGTCAGAACATGCACAGCGAGGTCAGTTTGTGACTCTTGTGACTGCAAGTGACCCTGACTATGTAGACCATGAGAGACTGGTCTACACTATTGTTGGTGGAAATGAACAGCAGACATTCTCTATTGACCATACCACAGGTAATATATGTTTGAAACTGTATCATGTGACATCTTGAGACAGGATAGCTCACTCCATATAGAGACTAGGCTATTGGCTGGAGGCTCCGATTCATGTCATTATGGGAGATTTTACTCTTCTTCACAGAGTCCATAGAAGCTCTAGGGCTCACCCAGCCTTTATTCAGTTTGGTACCTTGGGCCCTATCCCCTCTGTCCCCTGCCCACTGCTATGCTTGAAGTACTAAAATGTAATATATAAGGGGCAGTCAAATGAAAATGGTCACCATGCATAACTCACACAGCGCGCAGTTGATAACACTGGAATTTGCTTATAGTATGACCATCTGGTGGAGACTCGGGACAGCACAGTGACAACGTGCCCTTGCACACTAGTCATATGTTTATTGTGCTGGAAGTAAGGTTAGCGCTACATGTGGTCATCCAACATCAGTAATGGAAGCGGGTAAAGAAGAACAGTGAAGTGTAGCGCGCCTTTTGACTGCTGAAGAAGTAGGAGGATGAGAAATTCATCATCGCATGTCTGTTGTTTACGGAGAACACAGCATGTCACGTTTGCATGTGCTGGCATGGCATAAGAGATTCCAAGAGGGACGTTTGTCACTGCAAGATGATGCTCACCCAGGACAGGCTCATTGTGTAATCACTCCTGGTGTTATTGCTGCGTTGGATGGTCATATCCAGGCAAACCGACGGATCACTGTGGAAGAAATTAGTCTTTTGATGGGAATAATTCATGGTTCCATACATGCCATTGTGACAAAACACCTGCTGTACCGCAAAATCTGCATGCAGTGGGTTCCACATCAATTCATGGAGGACAGAAGACTCGGAATGGCTGCATCACTGGGTCAGTTGCAATGATACCATGAGGAAGAATATGCTTTTCTGTCCCGTATTGCCACTGGGGATGAAACTTGGTGCCACCGCAGCCCAGATCTCTCCCCATGTGATTTTCACATTTTTGGAGACCTGAAGAGAGACATTCGTGGACATCGGTTTGCATCGGATGAAGACGTGTGACTGGGTAAAGATGTGGTTCCATAGACATCCTACAAGCGTTTTTCAATGATGGGATTGACCGCCTTATCTCCCAGTGGGATAAATGTATTAACAGTTTTGGAGATTACTTTTTAGGTAATAAATGTTCTTTAATATATTTTGGCTTCTGACCCATTTTCATTTGACTGACCCTCATACAATGAGCGTATAAAATAACATTAAGATCCATGAAAGTTGTAGAAGTTTACTTCTTATTAAACTGTCATGATACAGACATGAATTTTATCTTATTCTGTTCATCTCCCTCTCTCTGCTGTCTCCTTCATAATCTTTCTCTTTTATCTATTATGTTAAAATTTATTAAGACATAAGTACAAACACATCATTGGAAAAGCATAGAATATTAATTTGATGGTGACAGTTTTATAAAATCAGACCTATCTTTAATCACAAGTATGGGAATTTCCCCTTTTCAACACTCCTAACTTTCTCCGTTTTTATTCTTCTTTTTTTCCTTCTTTTTTAGAATAATGCAGTTGAGATTTGTTTCATTACAGGAATAATATCACTGATCAATATGCAGAACTTTGCAGAGAGGTCAACAAGCCTTCTCAATGTATCTGTTACGGATGGTGTATACACCAGCTTCACGCGGGTAAAGATAGAGATCTTGCCAGCCAATCGCAACAACCCAGTTTTCCCTCAGCCTCAGATTGAAGTGAAAGTTGTTGAGAACCAACCCCATGGTACTTTTGTTACTCAAGTTACAGCCCATGATAAGGACTTCCTCAGTTATGGTGATGTTAGATACTCCATTCCATCCGAGCTCTTGAGAGAAACTTTCGAGATAGATAAAAGAACAGGTAATATGCATGTAATTAAATGTTAGTTTTCTTTGCTTCTGTATTTCTTATATCTGTCCTTCAACATAAGGAGATGATACAGCCTGAAGAACATTTAGTTTCATTTTGTCACAGTCACAGTCACATATTGTGGCAGTAGGAAGTAATATTTGTTAAAATGAAAGCTTGGTGCTCTTTGTACCTTTCTTGAGCTCAGCTGCATATGAATGTTTGGTATTATGATGGGAGAAAATCATTTGAATTAATTTTCAGTTAATTACTTTAGTTTTATTGTAATTTAAATTTCATAGAAAAAGGAACCCATTTAAAGGAAAGGCCCAAAGACAGTTGGCAGTATAATTTACTAAGGTTTTTCTAGTGGGTTTCTTCAGTCCCTCCAGGAGACTGTTAGGAAAATAATTAGACTTATCCTCACAACTTTTCCAGTTCATTATTCATGCATTGCCCTTCCATTTAACACTGTAGAGTCTTGAGACACACTCAGCATCATTAAATAAACCATATACAAAGAAACATATTAGAGTTTCCATTCAAGTTTGTTTGGGAGCATGCAGAGTATATTGAATTGTTTATCTTTTGTCTCTTACGTGGTCTGTCTCCATCTTTTGCTCTCCTGTTTCAGAAATATTTACCAAACAAATTCTTATTTATACAAATTATGACGATCTTATTATAAGCAGAAGTACAAAATTCATAGTGTACTTACAATTTGATATCACATTTTAAATGTAGTGACAATAGGTCATACTATATTGCTGAGAATCGAGACAAAGGAGGAAGCATAAATTGCTCAACTGACCTTAAACATTTAAAAATAAGAGATTTTAAATTTTTTAGCTTTAGTTAATTCATTGATAGAATTACATTTGTCTTCAGAAAACAGTGCACAATGAAAGCATTGAAGCAATATGAACAGTTCGTTTAAATCTTATTCTAGGAGTTATAGTAACAAAAAAGAAGTTGGATTGTGAAGCACAGAAACTGTATGAAATTCCTGTAATGGCAACTGATGGAGGAGGTAGATCTGGCTTCATCATAGTTCGAGTGAAAGTTGCTGATGAGAATGATAATCCACCAAAATTTCTGCTTCGAGAATATAAAGCCACTATTCAAAGCAACCTTACTACACACTCAGGATTTCTCAAGGTGAGTCATGAGGTTGGCATTGTAGTGGATTTATGCCCTTATTGTCACTAACTTGAACTGAGAGGATATTGGCACCTGTTGGGTATATGTCACGCGACAAATAACTTCTCGCCATTTTGGATGTAGCGAAAATATTCCACTCGCTCTCACAATTACATAATTTACAATCTCACAATTACTGCCATCAGCAGTATCACAAATACTTCTCCTGTTTCCATTCACTCCGGCATATGCTAGACTGCAACTGGCTGGTTACTCCCTCTCTAGTAACTCTTATAAACCCGCAGTCAGACATTGCTTCCCTGTTGCATAATCGCCGTGTTTACAGGCGTTGCTGGACAACGCTGCCGAGAGTTGTTTATTGCTGTATAGTAACTGCGGTGTCCCCTGTTACATCACTGCAGGGGACTGGGACAGAGTGTTGACTGGCCTGTTGCCATAGCAGTGGCAGTTGCTCCGATGATGTTATGTCACCGCTGGAAAGGCGCTCCATCCACGTCACAATATTTATGTATTATCTTTTGAACTGAATCCAAGAACAACTAAGATATTAAGTTATAGTAGGTGAGTACTATGTGTAAAATGACTGGAATCATCATCCATGCTACATTTCAGTATCTTTGTGTTCTTGTGTTTTTAAAAACAGGTTAAAGCAGTAGATATTGATGATGATATGGCAGCTGAGATAGAATATTCCATTTATGAGAACCAGTCTTCTGGAGTGAAGGAACTGTTTGGGATCAGTCGGCATACAGGAGGAATCTTTCTGCTCAAAAGTGCAGTTCCTTGGGGTGAGTAGATTACAGTTATTTATTTGCATTAGTGTTTATGAATTGAAAATCATTCAGTAGATAGATGCTAAATGGTGAAGCTACAACTTGGGCAAATGGATAGTGGTGACTCATTGCAGAGGCCTATGTTCAGTCCCAAGGCAGTTGCCATGTATTTGTGGTGGACTGAATTACTTCACAGAAAATATTATATTTGAAAATTTGTGGTGCCAATCAGTATTACACTCTGTGTCCATCCATTATCATCCATAAAGTCTGGCCAGTCCGTACAACTTCCATGCTCAGTACATATTTTTCTTCTGTCCTAGAATTTGGCCAGTATTTGGGCAAAGGTATTAACTTAACATAGACCAGAAATTAAGTATTATAAAACTGAAGTTTATTCTGTTCAATAATTACTTGGAAGATAAAATTGATTGCAGATTAAAGTGTGATAATTGTTATAAAAGGACTGACAGAAATCTATTGCCAATAATATGTGAGTAGGGTTTTTAGTTGTTGTAGAGTGTTACAGAACACAGAACGTTGTTATACTTATTCAAAACTTATTCAAATTTTACAGAGAACCAAGTTTTCCAATTTTTTGTACGCGCACAAGACCGGGGTTCACCGCCTCTCCACAGCAATGTTCCAGTGGATGTGTATGTGATGGGAGCCCACGATGTGGCACCTATGTTTGAACGCAAAGATGACAAGTTCTTTTTCTCAGAAAATTCTCCACCAGGTTAGTCTTTCAAATTGGTAGTACATATTTAGAGACTGTAACACTCTTAGAAGTAACTGTTTAAACCATAAGGAAATAAGACTGAATCATGTTTTCAATTTTTTGTATGTGTGTAATTCTGTGTTGATCATTCCTTGTGATGTTTACTTATAAAAGGTAAAAATATAAAATTGTTCCTGTGCTTAATTATCATGCAGATACAAATCTGATACTGAAAGAGATAGTCAACGGTGTAAATACTATGCTGTAAAGAATAAATTAGTTTTACTTCTATTTTATCGAGTATTCTTGGGGGTAAAGCAGTTGGTGTGAAGCTGACCAATCACCTCCATCAAATGCCAAGGTTAAGAATGGTGGAACTATACCTCTACTCCCCTATATATCTTCATGGCATAGTGCTTAATTAATTAAGTGCAGGGACATTATCTTTATGCAGTATGTCAAACAGCATACAGTTCAAAGTGATCAGACTGTGGTCTTCCAGATTGTGACAGTATATGGTCTTAAAGGTGGATACTGACATTTCAGAGGAACATACAGCTTCCATCTTCATGGGCAGAGTGTCTAGGGTAAGGAGTCTATTGGCTTAGATAGATATAGATATAGATACTTTTGTATCTCATTATTTCTTTTCTTCCGAAATTCAGGGACAGTTATAACAAAGTTGAAGATGGTGACAAACACTTCGGTTCACTACCGATTAGTGTCCGGCAGTGAGGAGCTTCCGCTCTTCGCAGTGGATGCTCAGGGACAATTGTCTTTGGCCCGTACTCTGGATCGTGAACTACGTGACTCGCATGTTGTGGCCATCCTTGCAGAGACAGACTCAAGCCCTCCACTTACTGCCCTTGCTGAAGTCACCTTGAAGGTCCTGGATGAAAATGACCATGCTCCAGAATTTGAGAGCAGTCCTTATCGGCTTACATTAGCAGAGAATGTTGAGGAAGGTACATCTATTCTTAAAGGTATGTGTGATTTGACTATGCTTATTATGTGAACACATGCATTCCTTGTAAGCCAAGGGAATCCATTTCAAAGTCTGGTTATTTCCTGCTCCTGTGGAAATATCTTGTACCCATTGAGTATGAAGCTAGGTGGTTCTCAGAGCAGCTCTGCATTATGGTGAAGAAGAGAAAAAATTATTCTTCAGTGACACATTTTCTGGTTGGTTTGTTTACTGAACTGTTTCACCTCATACCCTAAGAGAAGATTGTGACTTACTTACTCGTATATGAGGTATGAGGTTTTCATGCTAGTGAAAATTTACTTTGTATTCTTATAGGTGGTTAATGACATTATGTAGGAACCTGCTGCCCTCATTTTCTGCTTTGATGATGGGGGGAGCAGGTTCCTCCATGATTCTGGTGGAACTTCAAGATGACACTATGTCATAAGCAAGAATATCACAGTCTAAAATTTTAATGTCTTGCCATTCTGAAAATAAA